AAAAATTTTAAAGCGGGACGGGGGTTTACAACTATTGAGGGGGCTTTATTATTGTGTGCAGGCGAAATTTAGCTCAATTGAGGGGGCCTTTCCACTATTGTGTACAGGCCAAGTTTAGCTCAATTGAGGGGGCCATTGCTAATCACGAGCTCACATTAGATAGATAGATAGATGGATAGATAGATAGATAGATAGATAGACAGTTAGATAGTTAGATAGTTAGATAGTTAGATAGTTAGATAGATCTGTATAGGAACTTTAATAATGCAGTGTAACTAAGACCATGTAGGGGCTATCAATACTAACTACAATGGCCTCAGTATATGCAGTATAGCTAAGAGATCAACCTAAGGAGTAGAATCCGTATTCTACAGCGCACGGTAGCTAGATTCAGTACAAACCGCCGCAGTGAGGCTGCAGGGGCTGGCCGCAGAATGTTCGCCAGGATGGCAAGGGAGTGCATTCTGGCTTAGAAGGAGTTGCCACAAACTTCACACTAACTTGGGCTGCTTGTGGACCCCTATCTAAAAGGATACTTTCTCTTGCGTCGCAAGAACTAACAATACCAAGACAAACTTATTGTGAAGATCGGCCGGCTCATTAGCCATGCTCTACAGACTCGCTGTCTCCCGCAAAGGAGTCTAAGGGAGATTGGTAAGGCTCCAGACTCCAAGCCAGAGTAAAACACGGACATAGGCAAAACATCATGCATAAACCAGTAACTAGTGGTGCAAGAACTCCGACAATTCCACCGGATGATATAAAAACTTTTCCGGAACCCTTTTAGAACCCTTCCCCTGGTGTCCAGCATGTTGCCGCCAAGCAGACCATTCGCCTTCCCAACTGGTCTTGTCGCACGGGAAGAACCTGAAATGTTGCAACGCTGAGAGTATAGACCCTAAAACCTAAACCCTAAACCCGAGGTTTATAAGGGTTATTTAGGTTGTCTCAAGACGTGGGGGCCTCTCTACCCCAAGTCTGCAAGAAGACATCTCGAAACAAAATGCTGCGGCTTTGAAGGTTTAAGTGCACCAACATGGCTACAGAAACCCCAAACCCTAAACCCTATAACACTATGAAAAAACAGACGTTTTTTGCTGGGATTCCGGCCTTGTCCGGAAATGAGAGATCCACAGACTGTCTTGATAAGGGTCGCTATAAAGGCTAGTCCAAAAAGGTTACTGCACGGGTTACTATATTGATTCTTGTTCGGATTACTAATAAGGGGTTGCTAGGATTCTCGAAATAGGTCAGAAGAAACAAAACCAATCTGCAACTGAAAACCTCATAGCCTTGTGCAGCCGAAACCCCACTGATATCCCTCCGAGACAGGAGCTACTAATGCAGAATATGGGAGCCTTTCAGAAGCAGACTTAAATATAGTATACCCTGTTATGATTCCTAGGGCCGTAGGTTCCTAAATATGACTACACAATACATGCAGATATGTAGACATACAACCCCCCCCCCCACCCCCACGACACCATTCTGATGATTAAGGCCCCATCATTCTGCTCACCTTCGAGACCGGATCCGACAGTTTAGAGGTTTAGGGTTTTAGAGCTTTCAGGGTTTTGGGGCTTTAGGGTTTTAGGGTTGAGGGTTCAGCCGAAGCAGCCCAGCATCACAAGAGAAGTTGTGCGCCAGGCGTACCAAACTTGCCACCACGGCTCCTAGGTAGCGGCTTCACTTTCTGGCTCCGGTCCGCTGTGGGATACTTTCTTTCCGGGCTGTGGGCGAACAGTTCATGACTGCTTGAGTATGCGCAACAGTGCTTGAGGATCCGGAGCCGACATCTCGCCTTTCCCACGGAGTGGAGAAGCATACCATGGCAAACCGAAAGGACACAAAGCTCTGAAGCGCACTCGGTCTCAGTTCGGAAACATGAGCTTGCCATCTAAGCTGACGATCTACAACAATGAACTGACGGAGTAAGAACCACCCAGAAACATTCAATCCTGCCGCTGTCCTTCTACCAACCAGCCAAAAAGACGAATGCACAACCGCTAAACCCGAAAGGACCTCGTTTCCGATGTTGTCCTCGTAGCCAGATCCCTTAAGAAGGACTGAGAGTTCCCCTAAGCCAAGCCCTATAAACCCTGAGCCCTAACCCTAAACCCTAAACCTAAACCCTGAACCCTAAACCCTAAACCCTAAACCCTACAACCCTAAACTCTACAACCCTACACCTAAACTCTACAAGGCCTCAAGGCCAAGTTTCGGTCTGCATTCAAGGAGCTTGTCAACCTGAGCCGAAGAAGCGGAGATCGTTGCGGGTTGGGGGAGACTTGCTGTTGCCGGATTCGTTTGAGTTCGGGGTTTCGGGCTTGTGGCTTTGATGCTTACGTAGGTGTTTTTTAATGAAGGTTGAAGGGCTTGGAGATACGAACTTGAAGCGTGAGATTAAATGCCTTAGGGGTGTGAGCTTGGGGGTTTGGGTTCAATTAGCCCGGGCTTCTGGGTTGCAAAAGGTACTAGGCACCGAAGGCACTGTGGATGCTGTTTTCGACGATGTCGTTTAAGTGCCGCTCTGCCACGCTTTCCATGTATGTGCCTACCGAAGCAGTGTCTACCCGTCTACGTCTGATGTGACTATGTTGCTCCAGTCTTCGAAGCTGACTGCAGCAAAACGAGGCAGATAATGTATCGTCCCATTTAGCCACCAATGCATTGACCGCTGAGTTTGGGTTCATTCGCTCTAGACCTAAATGCGAAAGCCAGCACAAGACACACAGACCACCCCCGTCATGGAACCGTGAGAGCTTCGCGTTGCTTTTGGATTATGGTCTCACCTCTTGGAAACTAGGGGCCAAGGTCTGTTGCAGAAATGGCCACGGGCCGAGCCAGATACCACACCGTGTTCAGCTATCTACTGCAGCAGCATCTCTCTCAAGATCACAAAGGAGTCGATATTGGCCAGTTTAGCTCTGTCGACGGATAAGACCAAACAGCATGCTTATCAAGGCTTCGCAGTCGCTGGAGAAATTAGCAGCACTCATATCGATCCCGAATGCTTTGAGGATTCGGAATAACCGGAAGCCCGTCGTCCTTCATCCTCGTTTGAGAAGCCCACCAATTTTTTGTGCTCACTGTTTTGAGCTCCGAAGAAAAATCGCAAACTGCAATTCCGGCTAGCCGCGGCTGCACAAAGATCTTCAGGCCGGCAGCAGCTCCGGTAAAATCCTGCCGTCCATATCTCATACACTAGCAGGGTCCAGTGTTAATGGGCGAAATAAGGTGTCCAAAGTGGGATATGCGTTTGCAGGAAAGCTGAACCCTTCGCACAGCATTTCTGGGCAAGCTTTGTGTGGATTCGTTTACTGCCTTGGCGCTCGGATGTGTCGGCCGATGTTGCACGCGAATTTTTGGGGGCGTGTTCTTTGTTTTGAGGGAGATAGAATGTTAAGAACATGCGCGGGACAACCCGCAGCGCCATGCAACTAAATCTGCGAAAAGTCGATGGCCAGACACCCGACTTCAACCCTAACATGTTCACCTGAAGTGTGCGAATCCTGTCATCAACTTCCCGAGGCACCTGGGGGTCCGAGTAGACAGACGGGCTGCAAAGCACGCGCCCAAAAATCTCGTGAAAACGGTAACCTGGCTTCGATGATGTCAATTGCAAGCGGGTGCGGTCGGGCATTGAAGGCATCTGCTGTGATGGTGATCACTTGGCACAACCAAGGACGATGTCAAAATGAATGCTCCCACACCTCTCTAGCCATACTATTTCACGCTGAGAATGCCATGGCAATGTAAGACCTCAACATGATGCCACGGGAGTACACCGTTCACGTCAAGAGCATATATGAACATATCTTATTCGTTTACTTATGTATTTACACACTTGAACTTAAACATAGAGGAATCACCATCGCAATGCCTCGCGTGCACACGATATTCCAACATGATACTCAAGATGCAGCACCTAATGAAGGAGCCATGGTCAGGGGCTTGGGCTTTGGGTTTTGGGTACTTCGGCGGGTTTTACTTAGTGAAGAAAGGGGAGCCTCCAGAGCCTTTTTCTTCGCTGCTGGCGACCGCTGCCCAACCGCAAGCGCGGCCAAAGCCATCCACGGCCTCCTGCGCTGGGGCTTTGCTCTTGAAAGCTGGGGAGCTTGCAACTCAAAGTTGCGTCCGGGGGGAACTTTGTTCCCCAAGAGACTTCTTCTCGGATGTTCTGAAAACTGATACAGATCGGGCGTCTGAAGAATCTGAAGACAAGGCTTCTCCCTGCAGGTCTCAAAGCCCTTCCCGAAACACAGGCGGCCTCTGGGTAAGGCCAAAGCTTTCCTGGGATCCACCTGGCAACTTACTGCAGTCTCTGGCTCTTCATGGGGATCCTCAACAGGTTGGCCTTAAGGGCCTGGGCTTCGTGTTTGATGAGGAGTTTTCGAGCATTCCTTGATTGATGTTACAAGCAGATGCTACGCAAAAGCTTAACCGGACCAAGAACAATCGTCACCGTCTGCGCAAGGTGCGGCAAGTGCTGAAGATCAAACCTGAATTCGAAAAGCATCGATACAAGGGATGGTTGCCGCCCTTGTTGCTGCTGTTGCTGTTACTGCTACTGTTGCTGTTACTGCTACTGTTGCTGCTGCTGCTGCTGCTGCTGCTGATGCTGCTGTTGTGGCTGTTGTTGTTGCTGCCGCTGTTGTTGTTCTTGGGTGGGTGGGTAAGTGGGTGGGTGGGTGGTGCTGGTGTTGCTGATGCTGCTGTTCATGGTGGTGATGATGACGATGATGACGAGCTTCGAAACTGCCGAAAAGACTCTCTTGCTGTAGATACGTACGCACCTGCAGACCAACCGCATCACCTAGCAATGGAAGCAGTGATAGCTATCGTTCTCGTCGAAGCCGTCATCGTCACCGTCGTAGAAATAGGCGGAGGAGAAGCAGTAGTCGTCTTCGTCGTGGTAGCAGTAGCAGTAGCAAGAGGGAGAAGGAGGAGGTGGAGGAACTGGAGGAATAGGAGTAGGAGTACCGGTGTAGGAGTAGGACAGGGACTAGGTGAGTAGGAGGAGGAGCAAGAGGAGCTGTAGCAGTGGTAGCAGTCGTCGTCGCAGTAGTAGTGGTGGTAGCAGTAATGGTAGCAGTAGTAGTAGTAGTAGTAGTAGTAGTAGTAGCAGTAGTAGCTTTCACCCGCCTGGCACGCCAATGACAGCTCCGTGGGGTCTTGACTGTCAACGAGACTCAAATGACCAGAAGAGGCAGTCTCGCCAAAACAAAACCATAAACAACGACAACAACAACAGCAACAACAGCAGGAACAACAACAACAGCAGCAACAACAACGACAACAATATCCCGGTTCCAAATGCTGCATATTATTATTATTATTATTATTATTAGTAGTAGTAGTAGTAGCATCAGTAGTAGTAGTAGTAGTAGTAGTAGTAGTAGCAGTAGCAGTAGCAGTAGTAGTAGTAGTAGTAGTAGTTGTAGTTGTAGGAGCAGCAGCAGCAGGAGCAGATGATGTTGTGGTTGTAGTAGGCGAAGCAGCAGTAGTAGCAGCAATGGCAGTAGCCGGAGCGGCCGACGCAGCAACAGGGCAGTCAGCAGCAGCAAGAAAAAGACCGCGTCGTAGTTGTTGGAGCAGTTAGTCTCTGTAGCTCCAACTCCAGAATAAGTTGTGCCTGGAGAGGTTGTAATGCAACCGCGGCGATTCGAAAGCTCCTGGTCGCACTTCCTTGCGGCATAGTGTTCTCAGGGGTTGTACAGGGCTCAGATTCAGCTCAGGTTTGCGTCTTGGGGGTGTCTTTTTCGCACTTGTCCATGTGTGAAACGTTCGAGGAATTGGGGTGCCTTGTCGACGGGTCCTGATGACAAGGATCCCACCATTGATGGTCGTTCACATTCTCTGAAACTACGATGCAGGTCGTCGGGGCAGGGTATAATGGGGTTTTGAAATTTTCCACAATGAAACTATAGAGCCCGTGGGGCTGGGCAATACTATTACTATTTATTCCGAAACCCTTATAAAATCCTATAGCAACTTGCAAAAACCTGGGCACCTGTGTAGAAACACTTGTAGAAACCCTATACGGGTTTCAGCAATGCACGACACGCCCAAAGGAGTCCGGGGCTCAAGGTCGCTGCGTTGGTTACCCATAGGCCCCATAGTAGTTCCTTTTTGTGGCGTATATTTAGGATCCTATTAGGTAATCCCAAAAAGGAACTGGGGCTGCGGGAGCTCAGTAAGGACTCGAAGTTGGGGAAGGGGAAGGAGGAGGGGGCGAAGGAAACCATAAAAACTGCCCGAAAGCTCCTAGCCTTGGCTTGCCTAGCAGCTTGGAACTCGATATCTTAAGACAACACAATCATTCCGAACTCCGAAACCAACAACTGGGTCTGGTTTAAGGGTTTGCGTGCTTTAGCTTTGAGTGGATCCCTGGCCACCACAAACCGATGAAATTCGACAGGGAAGCTTCATCCCAGGTTCCTGGAAGCATAAGGCAGGCGTTTGACCCCTGCCTCGAGATTTGGAGCTGATGTAGTCGGAGCTTCTGAGTTGGAGACTCTGAATACCGAGGCTTGGGGCGTTTAGGGCCTAGGGTTCCGAGTGGCTTCAAAGCCTTGGCTGAAGAGCTTTCGGCCGGGTTGCAACCAAAGCCGCCCGCACAATGAGGTAGTCCTTGTCGTCCGAAAAAACCCGTGCGGGCTGCAACATGATGGGTGAGGAGTACTACTGAGCACTGAACCCGAAAAGGGCTGTGAGTCCCAAACTCGAACCTCAGAGAACCGGACTAGTGACAAAGCGACTTGCTTCTAGTCATGGCTGCAGACCTTCTAACAACAAGGATGCTTTTTGCAAGTATCCCAACAGAGGACGCATAATCTAAAAAACTTGGCGTTGGCCTCACCCTCCTAAACCAAGAAAAGGTCACCAATCAAAGTACCCGAAACGTACAACCCATCCAGTTACGACGGTATTACGTGTTTGGTGTGGTATTAGGGTTAAGGGTTTGGGGTATACTCACCTTCTACATCTGTAGGTGTCTGCAGGGGGCTAGGACTACATGAAGCCTCCATAGAGATGGACATCCCAACTTAACAGTAGTAGATCTAAGTTCCAACATATACTAACAATACGTTTTTGCATAGTCGTTGTACTTAGTAGCTACCATGAGTGGCCGCGGTAATACACCGTGTAACAGCTCGCGAGTAGGTCAGACCAGACCACTGCGGTTTAAAGTCGAAAAAAGTCACAAACGTAAATCCAATGCAGTCATAGGGAGCCACTCTCATGGTCTTCTTCGATCTTCAGCCCCTTGCCTCAAGCCCTCAATCTTGAAATCAACAGAGCTCCAAAATGCAAGGCCGAGAATACGCAACATCCAGAGCCACGAAGCCGTGTTTATTATAGTCAGGGTGTCACCTTAGGCAACAACAACATGACTACGTACTATATACTGTATACACCCAGCGATACCACGACGGAGCAAAGCGCCAACAGTCCAAAGCACCCGCCCTAAACCCACTCCCTCAACCCTTTACCCTAAACCTAAACTCCAAACCCTTTCAGCTCTAAACCTAAACGCCCCGACCCTGAACCCCCGACTCCAAACCCTCACCCTAAACCCTACACCCCTACACCCGCAAACCCTTGAAAACCCCTTGTTGAACCATATCACACCCCATACAAAAGCCTCACACAGCGCAAGTTAACGCCAAATCACGAGTGTTTCAACTCCTAAACCATAACCCGAACCCTCGAATCTAAATTCCCCTAAACCTTAAACCATACCCTGTATCCCTAAAACCCCCACACCCTGACCTCAACCCTAGTCTCGTGCCGAATCCCAGCCTGCGCCCTCCTAAACCCTAAACCCTAAACCCTAAACCCTAAACCCTAAACCCTAACCCCCCCTCCAAAAAAAAAGGAAAAAACCATTACCGGGTCCCAAGCTCTCGCCTGAAAAGTTCGACTCCCCGACCAAGGGCCGAGAGGGTGAGCTCCAGAACCTTCAGCCTTTAGGCCTTCTAGGCTTTCGGTTTTAGGGGTTTAGGGATTTATAATTATGGGATCTATAAGGGCTACTATAAGGATTTAGGGTCTCGGCTTTCGGTTTAAGGGGTTTAGGGTTTCAAGACTTTCGGGTTTAGTTTAGGGTTCAAGGGGTTAGGGTTGAAGAGTTTAGGGTTAGCTTTTAGGCGCTTGGGGATTTAAGGGTTTAGGCTTCAAGGGTTTAGGCTTTAAGGGTTTAGTAATTAGACTAGGGTTTTGGGGCTCCTTTAAAAGGTTCCTTCAATGGGGTCTATAAGGGCTACTATGAGGGTTTAGGGTTTAGGGTTTCAAGGCTTTCGGGTTTGGGGGTTTAGGGTTTCAAGGCTTTCGGGTTTAGTTTAGGGTTCAAGGGGTTAGGGTTGAGGGGTTTAGGGTTTAGCTTTTAGGGGCTTGGGGATTTAAGGGTGTAGGCTTTCGGGTTTAGGGGTTTAGGGTTTAATAATTAGACTAGGGTTTTGGGGCTCCCTTAAAAGGTTCCTTCAATGGGATCTATAAGGGCTACTATGAGGGTTTAGGGTTTAGGGTTTGGGGTTTCAAGGCTTTCGGGTTTAGTTTTCCAGGGTTCAAAGGTTGAGGGTGTAGGGTTCAAGGGCTTAGGGTTTAGGGGTCTAAAGTTTAGGGTTTAGGATTTAGGGTTTAGGTCGCCTCCCTTCCCCCCTTTCCCTTCACCCGACCCTTCTCTTTCGGCAATCAGCGAAACAGAGTTGGGTGTGTCACAGTGCTGCTCCGCTAAAAAAGACTCAGGTATTGGTACTGCTTCCAACCCGTCAAACTTCTTGGCTCGCATGGGCTATCCCAGACAGTTTAACTAGGTTCCCCACTAACCCCTTAATAATAAGGGTACCCTTTTTCCTACTATTTGGTTTTAATAAGGGAGCCCAAAAAGAAAAAGGGCAAAAGGGTACTACTGTGGAACCTAGTAAACGCACACAAGCAACATGAATCCGACACTCATTCGCTTTCGGGGCCCAATTTCGAGACTCTGCAAAGGCGGGCGGCGTAGCGCTAGAATTATTAAAAGCCCCTATGAGAGGGTTAAGGAGTTAGGGAGACTGCGACCCAGGGAACAGGGCATCTCCTGCTTTCTGCATCTGCTCCCTCGTCGGAAATCGGATGCCACGGAGACCGCCGGCCAAGAGAAGCGTTTGAAGGTCCTGGTTGAAGATCATACCAAAACCTGGATCTGCAGTTCAGGGTCTAGGGTGTAGGGTTCAGGGTTTAGGGTTTAGGGTTCAGGGTTTAGGCTTTAGGGTTTAGGGTTCAGGGTTTAGGCCTCAGGGTTTAGGGTTTAGGGCTTAGGCGGGTTTAGGGCATAATTGACAGCATCAGCCAGTCTCTTCTGGAAGTCCAAGAACTTGACAATGTTGTGAGGCTGCCCGTTCTCAAAGTTGGCCAGCAAGATGCCAGAAGCCAGAACCGCTTGCAGCTTCAGCAGCACAACATCACCAGTTGAAGCAGATCGGCCCCCAGCAGACCTCAAGGTTCTGCAGACGCTGGCCTGGCCCGCTGTCACACCATGCTGGGCAAGAAGCTCCTGCGTGGCCCGACTGGCCTTGCAACTTTCAGAAAGCAGCCTGCGCGACACGTCGAAACGGCCCGGTTGCCTCAAGTTAAAGAGCTGGTCGGAAACGACCTCTTCGCGCACTGCCTTTTCGTAGGCTTTCATGTTTTGTTATTGGAGTTCCGATTTTGGTCAACTGTGTATGTTTTCGCTCCATAGCAAAACACGGAATGAGACAACCGTGCTTGCTCAAGCTGTCTCCATAGTGAAGCACCCTAAACCCTAAACCCTTTGACCATGCAAGCTTCCCAGCCGCTTTCCACAACCAAGGCAAGGGCTCGCTCAGCCGTTTTGCCCAGGTCTGACATCTTAACTCTTGAGTCCTAAACTCTAAACCCTGAAGCCCTTTACCCATACCCCCGAAAAATCTAGAAAGTAGAACCCCTAATGTTGGACCCTATACTACTAAAGGGTACTTCATAGGAACCCCCTTCAGGGATCTACTTTTTGGATCCTCCCAGTGGTCTGGGTATCTACCTGAAAGCTTCTTCGGGAGGCTCCGCCGATGTCTGTGGGGGTTTCCGTGGGGGTTTCCGAAAATAGGGGACCCTAGTATAGTACCCTAAATAGTAGGACCCTTATTATAAGGACCCCAAAATAAGGTACCCTAATTTTCGGAAAGCCCCATGTATGAAAACGGGGGCAGCTGCAGACTGGGCTCGCTACGAGGCACCACCGTAAATCCGAAGCCTGACGTACACTCTCCCAAAGAGTCCAAAGTACCTATATGGTAGAATGTAGTGTTTCCATATGAGGAATTGTTATTATGATTTGGGAAAGTATCCTCTCGTCTTCAACAACCAGGCCCAAAAAAACTCAAACTAGACCAAATAGATAAGGCCAAAAAGTTTCAAGTTCTCCTACTGGCTATCTAAGACTCTTATAAGCTCCCGAAAAAAACCGGAGGTGACTTGCCAGAACTCCTAAAGCTAAAACCTATAAGTCTATAAGCCCTGTAAGCCCTAAACCCTTAACCCTAAACCCATAAGCCCTATAAGCCCTATAAAGCCCCATAAAGCCCTAACGTGCGACTTTCTTTGCAGCGCACCTCCGCATGCAGCGTCCTCGCACGCATGCCGGTGAGCTCCTGCTGGGTTCGAGCCGGTGCTGTACTTAGAACCGAGGCTTCTTTTTAGGGGTGTAGGGTGTAGGGTTTAAGGTTTTTGGCTTTTAGGGTTCAGGGTTTTTCGGGGCTTGGGGTGTAGGGTTTAGGGGGTTTTTTTGTTTGGGAAGGGGGCAAAATCATAGCAGCAAGTATGGCGTAGCGCAGGACAAATTAGAATAGGGTTTGGGATAGCGTATGGTATAACTAGGTTCCCCAGTAGCCCCGTAATAATAAGGGTACCCCTTTTCCTACTGTTCGGTTTTCATAAAGGAGCCCCAACAGAAGAAGGGCCAAGGGTACTACTGGGGAACCTAGATAATACGACATCACAAGCGACGAAGGATCCGCAGGGCTTTGGGGTCGAAACGCATAGTGTAGGGGCCTTAATAGTTAGAATAAGCTTTTTGGGGTATATGATACTTCATTTATAATCTCATACTATAATTATAACAAGGAACCCCCAAACAAGGTAGGTAACTGTTAAGGTTCCTATATTAGGTTGGACCATGATTCGTGGTGGAAGAACCCGGGCTAGTAGCTGCAACTACGATGCTGAGTTGACTGGGTGGATAGAGTGGGTTTGGGGTTTTGGGTTCTAGGGGTTTAAGGCTTGAGGGTTTAGGGTTTAGGGCTATGGGGTTTTAGGGTTTAGGGCGATCTTGAGAGGTTGCGGTCTGAGGAAGTTCATTGCCTCACTCACGCTTGTCCGCAGAATCACAACCCTAGCACCAGACAGAAACAAAATGAAGGTCTGAGACGCTATGAGAGTATGGGAGCCAGGTACCGGAGTGCAGCATGTGCAGAAAAGGCCTTCGACTCTTATGTGCCCTCAGGCCAACGACATGCTTCATAGTGCGTACCGAGTATGGAGACTGCATGTGATTTGACGCTGGACTTGTGCATCCAAAGATAAACGTCAATCTCAATCGTCAACCTGAACATGTCGAGACTCACCGGCAG